ATTCTCTTCTAACGGGACTTTTCGAAGATTTGGCGTATGGTGAATATCCGGTTAGTTGTTGTTTCCAGGCCTAAAGCCACATTGACAAGGTCCAATCTTTCACACAATACGTGCAATWGAATCTTGTTTGCGATGTTTTTGATGAAAAAGGGAGATCTGCGCCAACTATTGTGGGAATTGGAAATGGATACGAACGTAAAATATAACAGAGCCTTCCAACTGAAATCACCTATACTCATAACTGGATATACTTCTACTTGGAGCGTTAACTCTTCATCTATGCTGRCACTATTCAATATCTGAATTTAAGGGGTTGAGCATTTCAAGTCCCTTCGGTTGACGCTGTAACGCCAAAAACTCCAACTAAACACAATTTTCTTGGCCAACTCTTAGTGGCCGCCTCTATTTCCATTGTCCTCGAAGGCTTTCACAGCCAAAATAGCAAATGCTTTGTTTACATTCCATTAAAAACTAATAAGCAAACTACGAACAAGGCCCCAGTTGCATGCCTACAGGTGAGCACAACCAAATACTACTGCCAGCACGCACACATATATGCGTAGAACTCACACAACCRCATACAAATGCATATGGAGAAGGTAWCAGCTGTGTGCGAGGTGTTCTTCAAATGCCTGCAGCCATGCGAATCGAATGCAGCTGCGGCATCGGCAACAATTGCAATCGGAACTTTGTCAGCGCTCCACTTGCACACACACACACACCCACACACATGCTTGCATAACTTTGAGGTGCTATAACATGCAACATGCAACTATGGCAACAATGTAGAAATTTGCCAGCTGCGGTGAGTGGCGCCTCACGTTGTCAGTCAGTCATTCAGTCAGTCAGTCAGTTAGTTGCTTAGCAATTGTTGCTTTGCCGTAGCAATTCCAAGTGCGCACAAAGGCGCTGGCAAACTTTCTAATAATGGACATGTGGCAACTGAGTACATATGTGTGCATGCGAGTGTTTCTGTGTATGAGTTGGAAGTTTTCAAAGCTATCTGATGCCTTAAGAGTACAGCTTTGTTGCTTGTGTTGCAACACTCGCATGCAACATATTGCTAATCAAGATTTTGGGTTTATGGATGTGTGAGAGGGGCTTAGCCATAACTACGTATATATGTATATATACATAAATATATAAATGCATATTAATGTATATATAACTACGTATATATGTATATATACATAAATATATAAATGCATATTAATATACAGGCGAATTTGTATTTTAAATAAAAGTTTGAGGAAACCAAAAATGCAGTTTTACTTCTAAAACTGTATATAACAATATATTGCCTATATATACTATATTCAYGTCATATACATATAAATATAGAGAGTGGATGCATATAAGTATATTAWATATATGCTTATTTATATTTATCTTTAAACTGTGTTCACTATCTAGCTCTACACACTTCCTCTGTCTCCTTTCTCTTTCAGTGCTTGAAGTAGATGGCGAAGCTTTGGAGCTGGAGCGCATCTCCCGTCTGCACATGGGCGCTTATTTGTGCATCGCCACCAACGGCGTGCCGCCCAGTGTCTCCAAGCGCATTAAAGTCAGCGTTGATTGTAAGTAAACAAACATTTAATGCAATCAAAAATTATTCTAAATAATAACCCCGAAATACGCGAAACTAACTTATCCACCTAACTTATTGTAAAAAATTAACAGTTATACAAATAACTATACTGCCTAAATATATACGAGTACTACAGTTATAACCGAAAAAAAAAATTATGAAATTACCATTACAGTTTCACCAATGGTTTGGATACCCCATCAGCTGGTTGGCATACCCATGTACTTCAATGTCACGCTAGAGTGCTTCATCGAGGCAAATCCCACTTCGTTGAATTACTGGACCCGGGAGAACGACCAGATGATTACAGAGTCCGCAAAGTACAAGTAAGTGTCACAAATATTGTTTGTCAAAAAAGTCTTGCGGTATTTTTATTGAATTTTCAATTGTTCATAAATTTTTTTTTTTGATGACTCAAGCCCAGCTCTTGACCGATGCTACGGCTGCTACTATGCCAGCCTCTTTCGAAAAATTCAGCGACTTTATTGCAATTTTCGACGACAGGCCTTCCGGAGCGTGGCGCATCTTCGACCACCTCCCCAACGGAACGAAAATGTTGAAACCATCGTTGTGCAGTGGAAATGGAAACTGTATCGGGTCTATAAACTGCACAAATTTTATTGGCGGCTTGAGATGCATTTTTGCCTTTATCGTAGTAGTACTGTAAAATATGGCGTATTTTCTCTTTATTTTGCTCCATGTTTGCGACGCTATAACTCACGAACGACTTAAAAGAAACGACAATCACTCAAACACGTGTTAGCGCGTGAAATGAGCCGAGCATGACCCGATGCGACGAATACAACTAGAACTACGCGCTCTCAGCGCCAACTAGCGAAAATACCGCAAGACATTTTTGACAAMCTAATATTTATTTTTATGCCGGAAGAATTGTGTGCGTGTGTTCGTATGTGGAATAAAATGGTTATATTGGGTCCTATCAAAATGAGATATATATAGGAATTTACTGACATTTCAACTGCAAAATATTATTGAGTCCATAACTACGAGTATATTCGTGCAGTTAACCGGAGAWTGCGTAAGTTTCATAGTTCCAATATTGCGAACAAGAACGTTGAAAAGCTATTGATCTTGTGCGTCTTTTCGGACATGTATGTCATTCATCTGAAGCGTATACAGCAATCTTTTTTCTTTCTTAATTATGTCGAGCTTAATGTCTGAAAAAGTGTGTTTGTAGATAGCTCTTCCTAGTCACCGTCATATAAAGGAAACTACGAAAGTCCATTATGTCACTCTTAAACGCAAAAAGCATATGTATGTCAAATAAATGGTAATGATGAATTCTCCATGACGCCAAGGCAAGCATTTGGTGTGATCTGAAGGGTGTGCCATACAATGAGATTGCAAAACAAGATGAAAACATTCATGAAGAGCGTTACCGGCAATAACTCATCAAATTAAAGCGAACAGAATTTGCGAATAGAYAGAAAGCAATAATCGACGCTTGTCCACATGTTGCTAGCCGGGAAACTGCGGCTGAGAGGTTTTTCATCACCCATATTTTAACGCAGAATAGTTTCCAAGCAAACTATACGCTACTGTCTTAAAACTGTTTATTTTTTCCCCTTATGGCTTTGTAACTTCGGGAAAATACCACAATCTACATTTTTTTTTGTTTTTTTTTTTTAGAGAGAGTACAAAGATTCCATCTTTCATTGTTCTTTTTTATGTCGATTCTAAATCACAATAAAACTGAACAAATTATATTCTGTCTAAATAATATTACCAATCCCAGTTAATAATTATTAAAAATTATTCCTTGTCGACAGTTTTGCCGGGCGGAAGAAATTCGATGTACACAACACCTCGATAATCGAAGAAAACTGTCAACATAAACTTGATTTTTGACCTGCTTTGATGTGTCTTTCGGATTCGGTTCACCTTCGCCACGATATTCGCCCGATTCAGCGTCTGTGTCTGAATCGTAGGCATAGATCCAAGGTTCATCGCTAGCAATAATACGTTTCATGACATCCTGGTAGTCGGAAAGCATTGCTCCACAGATGTTAACTCAACATGTTTTTCGAGAAAATAGAGTAATTTTGGAATCAATTGTGATTTCACTTTTCTTATGACCAAGTGAACTTTTAAAATAGTTTTCCTTGATCATTCCAATATTCCAACGATRCCAGTAAAATCTCTGRCTATTCGATTCTCAAGCACAAATTCCTTTATTTTATTGAMGTGGTGATYATCAATTGACGTTGATGACCGTCCTAGACATGGTCCGACGTCAAATAGAGATCATGATATGTTGATAAACATATGTGGATATGAACCCGACATTTATCAGAATATCATTGCTGGTGAAATACGTTGCAGGCTTCTATTGACTCAAAAGAAGCCTGCGTCGATTTCTACTATGGACGGTTAACAATTTTGAAATAGCGATCTGAAATAAGTTTAATCAAAATGTATTTTTTGAAAGTCCCCAACCGCATTCCATAAATAAAACCCTAAAATATTATGTATATACGTATGTAAATATGTACCTACCGATATGGATGAAGGGAGGAAATAARATTACAATTAACATACCATAAAATGCTACGTCACGCTGTGTTACGTTAAGCTAAGTTTAGTTAATTTGAGTTAAGTTAAGTTAAGTTAAATGAAGTTAATTTGTATGTGAAGTTATGTTATGTTTTGTTGTGTTAGCTTATTTTATGTAAGTGTTATGTAGCGCAAAATGCTGTTAAGAATTTAGAAACCGAATCCCGGYACTTTTCATATAATTTTATCGCCACATGCTTTACAAGACTTAGTGATCGCAACTAGTCCAATTGGAARTAGTTATTTATAAGCTCCCCCACTGTGTAAGTTTCTGGCGGCACTTCGCTGCTTGTTTACTCGCTGCTTGTGGTCTTATTGATGACTCAGAGTACTTACAGATTATTATGAAATGTGCAATTTCAACTAACACAACAACAATTTACTATTTGCGTTACTCGGTGGCGCCTACTAATGTGGATATAATTTATGTGGTTTGAAGGTATGTGTGCGTATTGTGTTGTGTGCAGTCTATTTGCTTTCAATATTTAATAGGCAATAGTAAAATAAACGATGGCAGCACCTGAGGGTTAAGCAATTACACAAATGTATGCATGTAAGTGCACATGCATATATATATGTACATTTTTAAATATGAATGTGAGCATTATTTGCTTGAAAGCAATTCCATTAGTATGTGACTGCAGCTAATTGTTGCTAATAACGGCAAATTACTAACGCGAAAGTTCGAGGGCAATGATTGATTGTTTGCGAAAGCGCTGCWACTTGCTAATTATAAGAAATATTTTTAATTTTATATAAAATTAAATGGAATTTCTTAGTGCCAGCACTTTTCGGACTTACAATATGCGGCTTATCACTCCATTGTACATTGAACTGGTCAGTCATGAACTTGAAAAGCTTTGTTTCTTCTTTTGTTTTGCGGTTTATTTGTTGCGCTCCTTGTGGCATTGACCGGCGAATATGACGTGTATGAGCACCCCACCGTTATGTTCACAATTGTTTGTTGTAACGCCTACCCCGAACATATTGGGTATAGCAGCCTTCTCATTCATTTAAATATTTCCTATTAGAGTGAGACATTTGCGGGTGAAAAATTCAGTATAAAAAATTTTTTTCGCAAATTTGGTGTAAACGAATTTTCTTATATCCCAAGCCCTTAAGAATTATCAAAATTGAAAATATTAAGAAGGCACCTTATTTCGACTTAAAATCGGAAAAAAGATTTAATAAACATTTTCGGACCTCAAGTGTACTTTGGTTAAAAAAATTATAAGTTTTTTTAATATAGTGTTGACTTAATGCTCTATGCACTACTTACTTCAGTGAGCACTCTTTCGCTGGCTGTAAAAAAACTCTTTCTGTGTCAGTAAAACACCCTAAAAGCTTCTTATACGGATATTTTAAATATTTCATAAAGTGCCACCCTACTATTAAAAAAATTAACTTTTGCTCACAACAGTAAGTAGACCCAACAATTTGCTACATACGTACTTATATTGTGAGCATATGATCCCTAAGTTCGAAACGAAAGTCAACGCCAATTTCCTCGATTAAAGGGAAAAAAAGCCGACTTGACTGCTCAGCTGAGCTTTTTTTACTTTATTAGATTCAGCATAGCAAGCGTGCGTCTTATCGCTAAAGCTGGGTTTTTTTCATTATAAACAAATAATAACTTTCGATTCGGAGAATTTTTCGCATTTGATCGAATTATTTGCCTAGTACAAGGCAGTTGCTCAGCAGAAGCGCGGACGTGCGGTGTAATTCGAGAACGAGGAAACCACAGCTGTGCTAAAGTAATTTCCAATGCTTTATCTAAATGAAATTTATATGTTGTGTAATTAAAATATAAAGGGAATAATTTTAAAAATATAATTAAATCAAAAATATACAGCAAGTGTKTGTTGAATAAAAGTGAAAAGGTAGAAATAGAAAACGAGTGATAAGTAAATAGGAACTACTTTAACTTCAGCTGCACCAAAGCTATTATACTCTTCAGCGGTGCATTTTTGTGAGGACTATAGCACAGCTTTAGAGAAAAGTCAAATTTCGTTAAGATATTATGTGAGCTAAAAAAGTTTTCCATACACAGACTTTATTTTGGTCGATCGCTTTGTATGGGAGCTAAAAGATATAATAGTTCGGTTCCAAAAGATATGACTAAAAATTTTAGGCTTGCCTTAGATATTAAAGTATACTAAATTATCAAATAAAAAAGTTTTCCATACACGAACTTTATTTTGATCGATCGCTTTGTATAGCAGCATTATGATATAGTGGTCCGATTCCAAAAAGTATACTTGGATGTTGTAGCCTTGACTTTGGAAGCTAAACTGTATTAAATTTTTAGAAGATATCTTGTCAATTCAAAAAGTGTTCCATATAAGGACTTGAAATTGATCGGTCGGTTTGTCCGACAGCAGTCCGAAAACTTTTCAAAATCGTACAAATGACGCTAACATAACTCAGATTGCAGTATAATCTATCTGTCATCGTTTCTTATTCTTCCAGCTATCAAAAGCTTGCCGCTTAAAACAGTGTTATGGTTCTGTTGTCGAWAGAAGCAACCACGGTGTAATCAAATGTTAGCTTTGTCCGAATGCCAGTCGTTCGTCATGACAATGGGCACTTTGTTACATCTAAACTGGCTTGTATATTCGATCCAACAGAGACCTATTTGTTAAAAATTCGACAACTGCGCTATCTATATACTTATACATAAAGTACTTCCCCTTACTCTGGTTGCAACGAGGCTTAAGATCAGTATTATCAGAAAAATAAGCACAGATTTGCTAGTTTTGGTCATTGTGGTGACAGAAAATATTCCTCAGGTAATTTTTAGGAAGAATGCCATGATGACAGTCCTCGCCTGGATGAAAATCCAGGTCCGTTCCGGTTACATAGACCCCATTGTCGTGGGAACAGAGGTTTGGAAGTTCGTTTGTAGTGCTTGGCTTACGAACTGGCCATAAAAACACCACATTTATAGCGCTAATCGCTTGCTATAGGACAGACCGCTGCTGTAGCTCTCACTAACATRTGAAACAGACGGTAAGCCTCCCTGGCGTCAGCATTGTGAATTTTAGCTTCGGCTGGAAAGATTCTGAAATAGTTAAGCTACGGCCTTTCTTGCGGAWGGATTATGTTATGTCGATTGTTTTAGACACGGTACTCCCTTTCGATGTACCTTTTCTGGGCGATCGGGACAGTAGTTAACCTACCGCCGTCATCGATCTCAGGATCATTGCGCTTACTTAGTGCACTCATCCAATAAAAAAACAATACTGGAGGAGGTGGGATCGCCTTATAGCAGGCATAAACATTTCTTGTAAAGTCGAAAGTAAAATATAATCCAAGAATTTTTTTAAAGGATGAATAAATCTTAATTTAAAAAGTCTATCCTGAAAACGGAACTGTATAATTTAGAAGAAAAAATAAATTATTAAGAAAACATAATCAAAAAATGCATTAACTTCATACGTTTTCAGTGATATCATTTTGGCAAAGCGAATTGCCATAATTTCCACGTTACCCACTTCAAATACAACTTTAACAAATATAACAATAAATAAGCGCCACCAACAMCAAAATGAATTTACATAGAGCYTTAACAAGTYTAACACTAWTTCTACTGCCACTCTTGTTACACCCCGCCAGCAGAGGTGCRTTCGCCAGCGTYAATGAGAATCAAATTCARGCGATCACCAGCTACATGGACCCGCTCATTAATCCATGCGACGACTACTACCGCTACGCCTGCGGCAATTGGGCTAACGTACACTCGAACGAGCAGTACTACGAAGTCACCAGCTTAATGGATCACAAGGTCAATAAGCGTTTAATCGACTACTTTCAAAACTATCAGCTGGAAGGCAGCACTGAAGCCGGCAACGAAACCTACACGGATAAACTCTTTCTCTACTATCAAACATGTAGGCGCACAAAAGGTTTGCAATTGAAGCGTTACTTGCAGCTGGTGCGTCCCAGCTCCCACTTGGACTGGCAGCTGATGCTCGAGGTACGCGAGCCCAATGCYACGTGGCCGGCCGAACGCTTCAACTGGCTATTCACGCTGGCCAAGTTGCGTCGCTATCACTTCAAGGGCGCCTTCATCGAACACATACTTATGGTGGACGATAGTGATTCCAATCGGTATCTAATCGATTTGGACAAACCCACGGACAAGTTGCCTGATGAGATAGTGATAGCAGCGTTGCTTATAGAGTTGGGGGTAGGGAGAGTGCGTGCGATTAAGATAGCAAAGCAACTGCATAAGTTCGAGGAGAGACTAGTGATTCTGCGTGATACTACAGACAAAAGATTACCGCAGCCCATATCATTGTCGGAATTAAAGGACGAAATGCCAGAAGTTCCATGGCAATTGTATCTGCAATTGGTACTGAGCTACACACTGACAGAGGACTATGAAGTGCAAATCAACAATCGTGAATACTTTCCCGCGCTCAATAAGGTTCTGGAAAATACCGAGCCTAGCTTGATCGATAATTATATAATGGTGAAATTCGCACTATTTCTGATGAAGGATAGTGCTGACAACTTCACGAAGATGGACTGTATGTGGGATGTGCGCAAAAAGATGGAATTGGCTGTTAATTTTCTCTACAAGCAGCAATTCTATGGYGGCTCAGATGCCAAGTACATCGCCGATGTTGAGCGCATWTTTAACTTGATAAGGCATGAATTCAGCGCCAGACTGAAAAATAAYAGAATGAAACTGCTACCAAATCAGCTTGAATTCCTTCAAAGCAAATTGTCTGCCATGCGCTTCAATATCGGCAATCTACCGGCAAACGTTGATGAGCGTTTCATCGATAAGTACTATGCCGACGTGCACATCGACCTCAATAATTACCATAAAAATCATCTGCTCTTGCTGAAACTGCGCTCACGCAAAGAACACGATCAGCTAACGGCGCCGCCGCCATCSCCCAGCGACTACCACTTCATCAGCGATGGTGACAGCTGCACGCCGTACTATATGTTTCCTAAAAACCTGGTCATCATACCGTATGCCTTTCTGCAGCCACCTGCGTATCATGTAAACATGCATGATATAATGAAAATGGGTATATTCGGTTTTGTGCTCACCCACGAGATTATGCATGGCTTTGAGTATAGCGGTGTGCGCTTCGACTTTTCGGGCATAACAGATTGGCTCGGTAAATCTATTCTCTCAGATGAGGAGTTTCTCAGTGCGTTTGAGTGTTTGAATTATCCAAAGACGGATAGTCTCGATGAGCGTGYGGCGGACTTTATGGGCATTCGCGTGGCCTACGACACGCTCTTCCACCCCAATTCTAGCATGAATGCGCGTCAGCCGAGCTTCACAGATATAACGCCGAGACGTTTGTTCTTCTTAAATGTGGCTCAGTTTTTCTGTGGCAATTTGCTACCGACTTTCTTCGATCACGATGCGGACGATGTGCGCTTGCGACAGACTCTCAAGCAATTCGAGGCCTTCACATTGGAGTATGAGTGCAAGCCAGGCGATGCCATGTTTGCGGAGAAGAGATGTGAGCTGTATTAGGGCGTGAAGCCCTAATAACATGTCAAAATGACTACTGAGCCATAAGATTTGCTATTTTCTACCAAAACAAGCCAATCGAATCCTTAAAGCTTAGTATTTAATTATGTATTTATCCGTAAGTTAAGTATTTTATCCGTGAATTATTTTGTACAATAAACTAGTATCTAATAAGTATTGCTTACTCTTTTTTTATAAGAAATGTTTCATGCCCTCACTTAGGAAAGAATGCTTCCTTCAGTGCTCTTTAGCAGTTGCGCGAGCAGCACCTTCTAGTGACTTTCTTATTGTATCTTATTATTTGACTTATAGAAGAATTATCTAGATAGYCTAGATATACATTTAAACGGTTGGTATTACTAAGATTTTTGTATTGTCTTTTAAAACTTCAAGGAGTAACTTTGGTTTCATGGCTCCAGAAAAAAAAAGATTKTCTTGTTTAAATCTAAAATATTCTAAGTTCTAAAATTGATCCGATAATATATCTAGCGATACAACCGTTTTCCGATGCTTCATCGATTTGAACTCCTTTGCTGCGGTGCGAAAATGTGCGGATTTGTACTACAATCTTTCATTTTAAAGTACACAAATCAAGTATAGGAATGTATCCATATAAAACTTTACATAAATAATGACTTTACATTAGCACTATCATCACTTCATATATGAGCTGTCAAAAAAGTCTTGCGGTATTTTCGCTACTTGGCGCTGAGAGCGCGTAGTTCTAGTTTTCTTCGTCGCATCGGGTCATGCTATACCTTTTTTTGATTGCTCATTTCACGCGCTAACATGTGTTTGATTGATTGTCGTTTTTTTAAGTCGTTCGTGAGTTATAGCGTCGCAAGCGTGGAGCAAAATAAAAAGAAAATACGGCATATTTTACAGTACTACTACGATAAAGGCAAGAATGCATCTCAAGCCGGTCAAAGCGGTTTTCCACGATTATTTCCAAGAAAACTTTTAAGTTGRATGATGCTGAAGTGTGTATTCATATTGTGGGATTTTTTCACTGTGTTCCAAGACTTAGTATTAGTCAAAATATTTAGTTGGAAAGGAACTACAGCTGACYTCCGGGAGCTTCTCTCAAAAAGACGTTTGCGGTGACCACCATATCCCTGAACTGTATCCTCTCAAATTAAAAAAAAAAGTATAGAGCAATAAAACATCGCTGGTTGTTTTGATAACTTACTTTTTCTACCTACTGTATGTGCATGTTATATAGTCAATACGTATGGCGTCTCTTATATGAGAAAAAAAAATTTTTTTTGCATGTTGCAATTGATACCTCCCATTTCTTTTTAAGCTACCTAGATTTACTTAAATACCAAATTTCATTTTCCTACRTAAACGTTAACCCGGATCGTCACAAGTAAGATTTAGTGCTGCTACTACAGTCTGAAGTATATAGACAGAATCCCTTAGTCTTAATTGACCTCTCTCTAAATCTGCAACTAACTTAGGCGTGATCCTCTTTTGTGGTAGTTCGAGAACTTACCATTGGCGAGGTGGATGCCAAGGGTTCCTTAAGACTTTCATCAGTGTTGGTAAGTTAATCGCGATCCTCTTACATTTGAATACAATCTTGTGCAGTAACAGATGACGATAAACCTCACATCTTTTTTCCTATTTATTTAATTTCCTCTGATTTGCCTTCTCTCCTTTTTCGGCTAACTTTTTGTCTACACCCGTTAAATACTCTGGACACAATGGTAAAGAGAAAAATATCGAATCTCCTTCAATTTTCATCAGTTCCTAAGCATCAGCTTGTGTTATATCAACTAATAAAAAAATATAGTGCACTCCCGAATAACGAGTCAATTTAACTTCGCAAATTTTTAAAAATGTACTTCTCGAACTTGACGATTAGACCGTAACTTTGCACCTATTATTTGATAATTTAAGTCACCAATGAAGAAAACACATTTTTTATTGGTTCTTAATTCCGCTGCCATCTTTTAAATGTATGGCAATACGTGTTAATCGCTAGAATAAGTGGAACAAATGACAAATGCCGTAAAAATGCACCGCCACTACCGCGCAACATGCACGAATATAATTCAATGCAAGTCGGCACAGGTTGTTGTACTCCAAATAAAGTGAAATTTATTTCTAAGTGTTTTAGAGCTAAATGAACAAAATCATGACCTATGGAATTTAAATCTAAAACTTTGCAAAATAAGGGACACCCTAACATGTAYACTTGACTGAACATATAGTACTGTATATACTATAGTTTAAGTTTGATTTTATACTACCCCATTTCCATATATAACTATATGTGTATCAGTTTTTGTTGTTCGAATCAACCTTATGCCGTATTTGTCGGATGTCAGAGTGGGTGAGGACAATTTCTCTGAAACGGCTGTACTGATCGACTTGAGATTTTCACATGACCAACTAAGCTATATTTATCAGGATTTCAATTATTATTCATATATTAAATCGATTCGACTTTGTTTCTATAAATAAAATAATTTGTCAGTTTTCAAGAAAGGCCAGAAAAACTCAGTATTTCTACGTTGCAAGCAGATACAACACATAAATTCCGCACATAGGCTACTGTGACATCTGGCGGTGCTTTCTCACGTTGCTTACGATTTATAACGGCAGCGTGGTGCTTTCCATTATTTTTCTGTTGCATGCACACTTTTTGACGAAGCAAATTTCGGTTTAATATACACAAAATACTCAGTTCAAAACAAAGAGTTTTAAATTACTATTTACTTTATTAATATGCTTAAAGCAAAGCTACAAATATCTCTAGCACAAAATTTGCAAATAGCCAATCCTGTCTCAAAGCATTGTCAACCACCAAATTTTCAAAATATATCAGTTTATGTACAGTAGTATATATATGCAGACATATTCGTCTCTATCATATAAAATTTTAGTCAACACATACAGCGAAAGCTTAACAGAATGCTTGAATAGTTTTCAAGCTTTTTCCTAAAGCTTTTCACAAAAGTTCCCTTACTTTGAATATACTCTTTAAATACATTTATTCTTGTTTATTGCACTCTTAAGATCAAAATATTCGAGCTTATCAGTTTCATTTTACCCTTCGCTATATTCACTACAACAGTTTGATTAGCTTTCTTCTGTATCGGTTTCACCAAAGTCTACATCGATGTTTCGACTGCATTTTCGCACGYCGCTCGCAACCGAATTCGCGTGAGAATTCCTCAAAGTTAGCCAATGTCTGCAGCACGCGCAACTCATCGATTGCGTGTTCTAAATAGGCGGTCTGCCTGAGACTGCGCTGCACCTTGCTGCAAAAGAATTGAGCGAAGTTGACGAAGAAGAGTTGCTTGTCTGTGAATTCCGGTAGCAGCTTGCTARGCATGCCACCCGACTTGTGAGTCTTGTTGCCACTAAAGTAGGTGTCGTAAGCTAAACGGAAGCCCTCGTAATCKGCAAGCTTTTCATTTAGACTACGCGAGCCGGTGGCCAGCTCGTTCTGCATGCAACGCAGYCCTTGCATAAAGCGCTGATTCGCCGCAATCTCCTCGCTGGGTCCCATTATGTTGCCGATGCTATCGTAGTCGATGCCGGCAGAGTCGAAGCCATGCATCAGCTCRTGTGCAATGCTGAAACCGAGCACCGAGTATTTGAAGATATCGCGCAAGCCGCGATGGTATATGGGCATCTGCAAGTAGCCATATGGGACAATAATTAAATTCTTTGGCTTCACATAGAATGGCGATGAAGAGCTGCCCGCCCAATCGGGCAGCACATACGAATCATTTTCGGGCGTGCTAAAATTACTGGCGATCACAGAGTCCAAACTCTCATGGCTCTTTTCAACAGCCAAACGCAATAAACTCAGCTGATTGACATAGAAGTTATTCGGATCGAGCTCTACACGTTCGTAGTACTCATCGTAATACTCTGGCGTGGCCTTACGTGGTGAATTGCCTATCTGCAGACGCATGCTGTTGATCTTCTGCAGCAGCGAATCTACGATGGGACGTTGCAGCTGCAGCCGATTATCACTGATAATTTCATGGAACTTTTGTTGTAGCCGTGCAAATATCTCTTGTACGTTTTCGTCCGTCTGCGCCGTATCCTTGTAGTAATGACGACCCACAATATAGCTCATAGCTAAAGGCATGGCGCGTCGTAAACTCGAAATGCACTCATGCTTCGAAATCTCCGCCGGTCCACGCTGCTTCAGGTAGAGCAAAAACTTCAGCATAATATAGTTGCACTGCGTCTCTTTGGGCGTATCGGCGAGTAGACGCACCAAGGCGCGCATGTAGGGTATATTTTGTATGATAACAGTGGTTTCGAGATTGGTTGAGGCACCTTTCAGCTGTTTCAGYAGCTCCAGCCAATTTATTTCCTGCACATATTCCTGCAAATAGCCCAGCTGCATCTCCTTGGCGCCCTCTTCGTCCTCAATTTCGTGCAGTTTGTGTAGACGCAAAGCGAAGGTGTGCACCTCACGCGCTACCTCGTTTGCGGCACGCTTCGTTTGGCCAATATCCAAGAGTAGCTCAATCATTATGCCCTCCTCGGTGGGCTCTGTCTCAGCCAAATTCGGTTTGTCCAGGTAAATGCTATTACTGCTCGACTCATCCCAACGCGGCAGCACTTCCTCCTTCAAGAGCACCCCATTCAGCCCATACAAACGCAACTTGGCAATCGCCGACAGCCAGTCAAAATGCTCCGCATGCCATTTCTTGCCACCGTTGCGTGCCAAAATGCACCAGTGCGCACCGAAACCCGGCTGTATGAGTTGTAAATATTTCTTCAGATTGTAAGGCTTCACCTTCTTACAGGAGCGATAATAGATGCGTGCCTTCTCGTAAATCAGCGGTTCACCAACCGCATCCTCCAGCAGGTATGTGGACGCTGTCGTGGTGGCCGGCGTAGTGCTGGACGCTGCTGGCTGTGGCTCCACGACCAGATCGCCCACCATCGCGTAAGGACCCTCCAATGCCACCGGCACTGTGACAAAATGCGTGACGACAGCAGTTAAGCTGTCGCCGGATGATGTTGGTGTTGCCGCCGTAGTTGTGCTGCTGCTAACCGCATTGCTGGCASTGGCGTTGAGCTGGCGCCGCAGCAAATGCTCCAACTTGCGGTTGAGCTCATAATCYAGCAGTCCAAGCGTATCGCCGAAATCCAATTGCTCGATGTGCTGCTGCGGCCAGTGGCCACAMGCGTACTGATAGAAGTTTTCGCATGGCCGCGCCGTTGTGTCCATGTAATTTTTTATATTCGTTGCCAAAATTTGATTCACATTGCCGCCGTGACCGTAGGGGCGGCTACAATTGGTCGGCGTGGTGCGCCAAATAATGGACGCGAACAATGTGCAAATTATGCTCAATTTCAACATCTCGCCACATACACTCACTCACACAAATGCGCGTATTATGACGTAGCGCGACACTCACGAATTTCAAGCGCGGCGCATTGACCTCTGTGCCGAAAAAAAGTTTTTGAATTAGCCAAAATTAGGCAACAGTAAAGTGCTTTGTGTATGATTTTCGGTTTTTTGCAATTTTCGTTCGAAAAGTGTTCCTCAGACCGCTCCGCTTACACGCACTTGTCAGGCTCAACTAATGGCGTGTGCTGGTCCAATTTGCGCGGCTACGTTCAGCTAATGGCGAGCGAACGCGGCGACACCTAGCCGCGACGCYGTCTTAATCTCGGTGATCTCGCGCCGGTCAGTGTCATTGTGATCTCGTTCWGTTTTCTTTTATTTTGAATCTGTGCCGTTTTTATGCCTTTTGCTTYACATTTGTTATTGTTTAGTTTGTTCAAAATTCGCCTTTTGTTGCTCGCGAATTCGTATTGTGGCCCATTTTTAATTCAGGCATACACACAAATCAATTCATATGTATATTTGTGTGTACACACATTTATAGAATTSGCGATTATACTCTGGCTGATCTTCATTCTTCGCTCTCTTGCGCTCAGTAATACTATAGATGTTGACTCCTATCACACTTTATTATATTCTAGGTGAACGGCGATTAGGAAAAGTGCCGTCAGTTCTATTATCAATGATGTGGTATAAACGGTCTGTATTATTCAGGCTTTCATTAACTACTTTCGTAATAAGAGGGAGCCTCAAATTGTGGTTATTTTTCAAACTATTAAAACGTTTTTGACACTGAAAAATCAATTTCGCCACTAACAAAGAATGCGTCAGAAGACATGTTGGCGCAAGACTGTATCCTAAGTGTCTAGTTTGTTCGATTCGCTACTCTCCAAAGCATTGCGAGTTTTTGCTCCTTCTACTATGTTCTTCATTCCACTATGCGACCAGCCTTAGACTGATTTTGTTTATATTTTCAATATTTTTCAGCTACATATTTCAATCTTGATACAAATTTACGAGTACGTTCATTCTTAGAAAAATACAATAGTTGCAGTTGCGAAAATTACCATTCAAAAGCTTACAAAGCCAAGTACATATTTCTATATACGTCTATAAACATATACATATATAAAAGTTACATATGGCACCCGCTCATTGCCATTAATCTCGCCTATTCAATTTACAGAGCATCCAAAGGCATTCGAATGCAACTATTTCTCAGTGGCCGACTTCTCTGTTGTTATTAGATTCATTCAATGGCGTAGTAGAAATCCAATATTAGGCCATAATGTATTGTACATTCTTACGTATTTATTTTTATATTTATATGCATAAAGATAGGTACAGGAAAAAAATTTTATTGACACTGAACAGCAAGCGGGTCTGCTTTTTGTAAACATCTATAACAACTATCTGCTTTGAGAAAGTAAAAAGAGGTAGCAACGAGAGTTAAAGGAGCAACTAAGAAATATCCTTAATTAAATAATTATGTTCTTTAAAAAATTTGTTCTCAAAAAACTATTCTGATAAATGATGAAAATCAAAAAAATTTGTACAGAAAATACATTCATCAATCTACAAGAAATAAAACAATAATTAAAATTGTTGACGTTCCTTTTTCAAATAGCTACACCAGAGTACATCAAATAATCTTTATATTATGGTTTTATGTTCTCTGGCTGAACTTGAACATAGCTCTGTTCTAGTTGTAACCAATAAACCACTCACAAAAGCTGTGTTCTAATCTAGATGTGTATAAGAGACAGGCTGAACTTGAACATAGCTCTGTTCTAGTTGTAACCAATAAACCACTCACAAAAGCTGTGTTCTATTCAAATCTCAAACAATTCTACAACTCTTGAAAAATATTGCGTGTAAGTGTGTATGTTTGTATTATGTGTTTATGTTTCTTATCACCTTGACCTTGAGTTCACTTTAAAAGAATTCTTATCTTACAAAGCCGTCTTCTCAAAAAAATGTTAATAAATAAACAAATGTTTTCAAACATATACAAATTATTTACATATATACATATATTCTCTAAGTGAGAGCAAGGTCTGCCACCAAAGGTCATAGAGCAAATAATTATTTGTGCTTGGTTGAGTTAGATCACTGTCCTATTAATTTCCATATGTATTTGTTTAAAAAAACCATAACAGCATCTGCCAGCATGAAACACTGAAGCTGTATAGATTCATGAACTAGTAATAATGTAGATCCTTCTCAGTTTTACTCATAATTAATTAATGTAMAGTGAGTGAAATTACTTATTTGTTGAGTCGCTGTGGCGAATTTTGGGAAAAGCTCTTGGCCAACATTCTTAAAATATCAATTTCACGTAAGAAATGAAGCCGCTCGACAACCAGATGACTTGACGTAGCCCCATAGCGTGAACTGGGCTGAGCAACAACTTGAAAATGGTCTGGATTTTCATCGAAAAATCGTCTTCAGCGCTTAAGTTCATATCTGGCTGAATAGCTACRTCAATAAGCTAAATATGTGTTACTGATYAGACAGCAATCCACACGTTCTCCATGAGTCACTATTACATTCCGTAAATATGACGGTTTGGTGCGGTTCATGGGCAGTCGGCGTCATTGGTGATGATCAAGACAGGCACGGTCCTGTGAATGGGAATCGCTGCCGCTTAATGACAACCGAATATTATTGACGCGAATTGGATGATGTGGACTTGGACAATATGTAGCTCCAACAGTAGGGAGCCACAAGTCACACAGCGATTTATTGAAAACCAAGTTTGATGAACGTGTTAATCGTCAATTGGCCGTCTTGATCGTCCGATTTTACGACGTTAGACTATTTGCTGTGGGGCTACGTCAAGTCAATGATATCTGCCAAGCCAGTAACGATTGATGAACTTCGTACGAATGTGGAACGTGAAATTTCAGCGGCATCGGACGATTTATGCTTGAAAACYTTTGAAAATTGGGTTCAGCGTGCTACCTAAAAGCAAAATTAAAGAACTAAGAATAAATATTTCAATAGCTTTTAACGTTTAGAATCAGAATTTAAAATGAAAACAGAAACTCACAAACAATTTTTTTTTGACCGGTAAAATTACTATTTTATCCAGACAAAAATTATTTTTAAAATATTAAGTAAMATTCATTAATTTTAAGAACCTCCTTTCTTTGATTACAGAACTGAAACACTGCCGGGCAACCCCTCCTACAAGGCAACCATGCGTCTCACCATAACGAATATACAGAAGAGCGACTATGGCAGCTACAAATGTGTGGCGAAAAATCCACGCGGTGAAATGGATGGCACCATAAAGCTTTACAGTAAGTGGCACAACAAATTAATAACTACATTATCGTTAATAGCTTACTTTCTATGGAAATTAGTGAAGCAAAGTAAAAGTATGCTATTTTCAAGCAATTGCTTCCGACTTCTCTGCTTAAATTAACTTAAAAAAAGCCCTAGATCCCTTTTTAGAAATTTTTTTCAATGGAACATATTTGCGACACCAAGCCTCATTGCAATTCCTTCCCTATCCTTTATGCCATTTTATGCCGGTTCTCCATAAATCATATTAACTGTAGGTAAAAAACGCACCAAATCTGCTGGAAAAAAATCTGTTATTCAATGTGTAATGAATTGAGCTGTTGCACCCACTATACTCTCATACCCAGGTATAGGAGTGGAGCAGATTGAAAACCACAACTCTTCAAGTCATATGGTAATGATGTGTGAAAAAAATCTGGTGCAATTAAACGATAAACCGAATAAATGCAATGTGGACGCATATGCGTAGGTGTGTCAAATTATAAATTTTTCAATGCGCAGAATGTAAAATGGGTGTGTTTCCACCTCATTGTGGATATAATGTTTTGAGTATGGCCATCAATTGTAAATGGAGAATATTTGAGGAGCTTCAAGCTTTTTGAAATGACATCTCGAGTGTTAAAAAAAAATTAAACGAATTACTGTATAACATATAGTATACGAGTATATACTTAAGATTTTCTGCTTCTGCAGATATAACCATTTTATARCCGAARCTGAARTATTGTTTAAACATGAGTGATTTCTTTAATATCGTTTTTCTTTCGCCTGTAAAATTATGAAAAGTGATGTTACGTTATTTTGCATTTTAAGTGACGGTATGTATGTTTGSTGTGACTACAAATCGAATGAAAATTCATAAGCTTTCAGTTTCGAACTTYATTTCAACAACTACTATAGTTGAGTAAAGTGACGTCACACGAAAGCCATATGATGACATTTACTGACTAAATTATCAAATAAATGATAGCGCTTAGTATAAAAGGCGACCTCCCTCTAAATAGATTTCTTTCAGGAAGAAGTTTATCACAATTGCCCATCAAAGCTGCAAGTTCATGAAGTTCTTGAATAAAAGCTCACAATTCATTGATGGATTTCCGGCTTTTTCAAAAAAAAAAAAAAATAGTCTCCACAACGTATCGCTTCAAATTTTCTTCATGCTGCTAAAGAGAAGAACATTTTCAAATATTTTAATATAAAATGAAACAGAAAACGCTACAAACAGCTAAATCTGCGAAATACGGTTGCTCAGCGTCTACTCTCGTTTCTTGTTTAACCAAACAGTCAGGCACAATCAATTGGCCACCACGGTCGAGTGATAACAGACCTTTAGACCTTTTTCTATGCGGACAATCCCGTTTCAGTTCAGTGTCATTTGCCAGTTACCAGGCGAAATACTCGTACAATTCAGCGAAAAATTGGACTCAATGGAAGAAAAATCTGAGACATAGCCAAAACCAACATTTGAAAGAGATAATCTATAAAAAATAAATGCCAAAAAATGTTCTACAGAATGATAATAAACATTTCCCATAAGTAGGAAGTTTCCATACTTTTTTTCTMAAAAAAAKTAGGAAACCTCGAAATGGATCACCTATTATAGTATTATTTTTTTAACGGTTCACCCAGTAAAACGATTTCATGGTGTGTAACGCCACATCAATCAAAGAAAGCGATGAGTAACACCTTAATTCTTAACTGCCTTTGTTGTTATTTCTTCCGGTTAGGCTGATTATTGAGTCACCATTCGCTAGATTGGTGGGCCGTTCGACATTATATCCATAAACCTGCATATCGTCAACACAAATGATGCATTTGTAGAATTTAGGGTTCTTGGTTACGCTTCTAAATTTAGCAATTACATGCATCATACCCAAAATATTAACCAAAATATGTTGAGKCGATCCACAGAGATGCTGAGTTYCACTGATATATCTCTGATGCCAGCGCGAATTTCAAGAATTGTCTCTTTCATGTTTGCGACGTTATAAAGAGAACAAGTTTTCATGGATTTCACGGCATTCACAGAATGCTTTGAGTCATGCAAACACTTGGATTTKTGAAAAAACACTTCCGCCACTTATTCAATGTTTCCATTAAAAACAAAAAATTTCAGGGAAATTCATTGTTAATTTTTTKCATGGTAAAAATCGCCAGACTGGTGGATGAAATCCATGCTTATCTTCTTAAATTTTCACAACGCTGAAATTTAGCAACCATTAGTTTTAAAGTATACTCTTTAATTCAAAACCCTTTCCCACCACATCCCATCAGCTTGAGGCATTCCGCTCATATTTATTACATTCTCCGCAGTTATTTTCCCACTACACATTCCTACCCCAGAAAAATGTGTAATAAATTCTATTTCTTCCTTATGCTATGCACACACCCGGTGCACTTTTATTTGCATGCTTTTGTCTGGGCGACAGTGCTGCCACTTTGGAGTCCAACAGGTTTTATGCTAACGCTTAACAGCATTGAGCACTTGTTGAAATGTCTGGACAGCGGCAACTTGGCTTCCACCAACACTGCCATTGAGGCGCCGAGCTGCGGCCGGGACTGAGGTGCTCAGCTGTGAAAATAATCATAAAAATCGGAGAAATGCAAACGAATTGCTGCCCCTTCGCAATGCTCTTTCACACCTAAGCACATTTATATGCCATTTGGCCTGCAGCGGCACTTTGTCGTAATTCTTTTCGGCTTCCCTTTAAGTGCCTTCCTGTGTGTTGCTGTGCTTCCGCACGCTGTAAAATGCAAAGCTCCTGAGGATTTTCAACTCTACCCTCTTGTCTGCACGGCCGTTTGTCAGAGTTGTGCGGTTTTTGCGAAAAGTTATTGTAAGAAGTAGCGATTTGCTCGGTTACAGCAAGAAAGCACACAAATCAATTTTGAACTCATTGAGTAGCGAAAGTTTTTGCACAATGGACTCAATGAAATCGGTATGAAATACTGCCGAATTATGAGGTTGACGATTGGGGAGGGCTTTAAGTATTGAAAATGAGTGTTAAGTGTTTATTTAGTGAACTATTTGAGCGATGCTGGAATTTAGAGTAGAATGATGTAGCGGAGATTATAAATATACATTAGATAAAAATATATTTACCTAACTTGCATTGCTCTCTTCTAAATAGCTCTAACTTTTAGCTTGCTTTATAAAAGGAGAAAATAATCGAATATCCTCCAAAATTCAATTTATTCCATTTTGCTCTAATCCAAAAGAAACGAATTTCACTTTGGTAACTCCAAGCGATTCCATTAATACTGAGTACAGTTTTTTTTTCTTATTTTCGGGGATAAGAAGCTTGTATAAGGCTTCTAAAGATTGTTATCTATTATTTTTAATATATTCCAAGAGATCACTAGATCTCTTGCTATMGATCTTTGGCCAAAAGCGCATKTATCGATGATGGCCKAGCGCTAGGCAAGGAGCAGCGACTCACTCCCATTCTACCGACAGCCGTTCTAGGGGCCTTTTCTTACTTGCTCATCAACTTTACAGTTTCCTGATGTGGCCTTGCATTCRTACCAGTCTTATCACAAAGACACTTGATGAACGCACTGCTAATGAGTTCAAAGCTGCTATCGCCGGTTTGCTATCTGAGTGTATGGTCACTTCTCTGAAGTAGGCTGTAATCCGAAGCARTKCAYMTACTGCTATCTTARTGGCTGCAAGSTTGGCCTGGACGACACTGCAATAGTTAGAAAGTCTGAAGCTATAGTCAGTAGAGGGCTCCTGACAGTTAGATGGAAGCATAAGAATATACCAACCAATATACCGAGTCTGTTGCCCTGATGAAACTCAATTTCTCTTTTATTTGCCAAAGTTGATTACTTCGGGGCGTTTGCTTCCTGCAGATGATCCAACTATCAACAGGAGCTCATAGTAGGCGAGTCCCTGCCAATCCCACCACAAACAGATTATACGCTTCCTTACAGTCAATTCAGTTGTGGTAAGTGACACGCTTTTTAACACCAGAAACGCTTCAAAAAATGCAGCGAGTCAGCAGCGATTTGTTGATAGGAAATTATGTCCCTGCGGTTTTTTGCATTAACTCATGCAGCACCCATTAAACAAGCTTCTTTTTATATACAGCTTTATATAACTGCTAAAAAAGGAGTTTTTCTTTAATGTTTAGCTTCTGAAAAATAAAAACATCATGGACAGACTCTACTATTTCATTATTTTATTTCGACGATTGGTATTTCAGTGAGTGGAGCATCTTTTGCGCRTAAGTGACGACTACAGTATCAGGATGATGTTTAAAGCAAATATTAAAGTTAAAATAAACGAGTAAAACACCTACAGTATTTGAGTTTTAAAAGCTTCCTTTGCTTTTAGTTGTGAYCTTCGCTTCTCACGAATCATCGGTGGCTCTAATTTGGTAAAGATCAAGATATACCAAGATATATATATATCAAGATATATAAAAGACAATTTATGGAGGACATCGTATAGATGACTCGAATTGGAAGGAAGCAGAGCAATAAATTTATATCACTATCTATCAGACCTGGATCTCTGATCTCCTACGTTTACCCTGTTTTTACGAAAGAAAAGATTATTTCAGWGAATGTTTGAGCTTTTGCCATTGATCTTTCAGCATCATTTATTGCACTTCTGCTTCCGCAATAATKTTTGTATTTCTATTTATTTGACACTTTTAACGTAACACTTGCATATTTGGCTTTTGCTTTAGAAAATTATCATCGTCATCTATTGCCGGYACAGTTCCTTGTGAACTTTGGCCTGGACGTATGCACCCTTAAAACATCTTGGCATCTTCCTCGAATTGCTCAACCCTTTCGAGACACTTTCTGAAGCACTCGTGTTACTTTATAACTAGTAGATTGTCAGCCTCATATCGAGAAAGTCGAACTCCAAGCACATGTTATTCCTCAAGTTGCCAGGATGCCATTTCTTCTCAGAAGGTTGTTATTAGAGTTATGGCATTTTTGTTATCAAAAAGATATATGGATGTGTAGATGATATTGTGGCTGTAATAAGAGTGGCTTTATAATGGTATCAATATGTCACCACATCATATCCGTAACACGTAGATGGAATATTCCTGATATTTCGCCCGGATGTAGTTTCTTATCTGTTCCCTAAAGCCATCAAGTTTTTTATCCTGAATTGAATCCTATTGTAAGGAAACATCGTGTGGCCWGCGATATAATGTATACTAGTGAACCCGGCCACGCTTTGCTGTGGTTACATACATATAATACTATTATTCATATAATAAAACATTCAATAAAGTGAAAATTTTATTTACGTATGAAGACGAAAACGTTTTTGTCGGTATAAGAATTATTGGAATTGTGCTTGAGCTTTAATTWTGAATATGTTCATACATATAAATTTCATTGGAAAAAATAACGAAATTAGGGGTACTTTCTCCATGTCTGGTTATCAGCTTTCTTTCTGTCCAATTAAGAGAGCTTTCCGCTTAATACACCGTACTTAAAAAACATCATATGTGTGGTTAATGGAGATGCCCGCTTAGTATAACGTCCATTTAATAGAGCTTTCACTGTATTTTTAATTTATGAATGGTTTGTATCCTATGCTATCTTCTAAGTTGGTTCGAACTGGACAAATTGTACCGAATTTTGATAAAATCGGATCAGTAGTTTAGGAGTCCATCGCGGACTAACAGCGTTATACGGTATTTTTATTAATAAAGACATACAAATGGTTAGCGTGTCCAATTAATCGTGTCT